TATTTATTATTTAATTATCTTAATATATTATAACTCAATCATTAAATTTAATTATGATTGATATAAATAAGATAAATATAATAATATGTTTCAATCCTTTAAAATTTTTAAATCTTTAAATAAAAATTTAAGTAATTTATTTAAATTTAACCAATTTTAATAGCCATAATATCAAATACTTTTAAGAAGTTAACTTACATGAAATTTGAATAAATTCTAATTTAGAGGATTGATTAGATCCCATTTAAATGAAATTCTACTTAATTACCCAAAAATATATTTAATACTACTACTACTTGCAGCCCCAACAGCAAACTGCAAACCCATCAAAATCACAATTTTCAAAAAAAAAAAAAAAAAAAAACCAAATTTAAAAAAAAAAAAAAAAAAAAAATCCAAATTTAATTAGTTATAAATTTTTTACACGGCAGCGTGGTCGTATTACCTGTCAAGATCTTCTAGCGGCGAGGAATCATGTCGAGAGAGCAATTCCCTTCGAAGAATACGCTGACCAGCCGAGAACGTTCCTCGTTCTGACCTCAGATAGGGTAGAGAATTAGGTATTGTGATGTCGGCGGTGGTGGTGGCGGCATTGCCGAATCAGTCCGTATTCTCGCTGAGAGCGGAGCAATCAGGCACTCTTGACCTATCGTTCGATCGAACCGGAATCACCCCCCGCTCGAGAAGGGACCTCGTCTTCGTAGTCAACCCTAGAGGTTATATCTTATTCTTGGATTACAATCTATATATCCTATCCATCTATTTAGTTTGAATAACTGGAATTTGTAGATTTGGTTCAGGTGCAAACGGCCGGACGGGGAGGGAGTGGAAGAAGCTGCTGCCTTATCTTAGAAGGCGCCTTGGCGAGCAATGTAACGTAAGATTTCTTTTTGTGTTTTTGCTTACGGTCTTATTTTGTTGAGTTTTTTTCTGATGCGTTTGATTAATCTTCGAAATATTTAAATTTAAATTTGATCCTCTAAATTCGATGATTTAATCTGACATGGGAAATCCAAATTTATCAGGATTGTTTGTTTTTTGATGCGCCGCTATAAGTAATAATGTTTTGTAATTTTGTGCGTTGGAATCTAATCATTGCCTATCTTAGCCGTGTTAATTATAATTCCGTGCATCAAGATCTGGTTGTCGTGCTAAAGAGTATGGATTAGTGTAGCGTAGCCCTGCAATTCCGAGGGGCGGTTCAGCTTCGAGATTATTGAATGGTTAACTAATTGAATTATACTTGATATTTATCTGCTTTCTCTTGCTCGATTCCCCTGATTACTTTCTTTCTCTATTTAAGTGTTCTTGGTTAACCATGTGTCCATGACATCCTGGCTAATATAGATTAGCATCATCATCGTTGACCTTGTAAACTGTAATGTAGATCATCATCATCGTCATCAATCTTACCAAACACATAGCTTTCTAACCCTGTAACTCTGCTACTAGTTCAATATGATGCAGCTAGGGAGTTCCAGATTTCCAGTGAATGTATGATATAATTGCGAGTTTGTGTTAACTATAGAATCAAACTTCTATCTTAAATGGATTAAAGTAAATTTATTTCCTGACTATCTTATTTGTATTTTAAGCTGATTATGCAGTATTCATGAGTTTTCATACCTGTAGTTCAATAGTTCTTTTCAACAAAAATTCTAAACTTAGTGATTAAAGATATTGGTATGTGGCAACAATAATTTGGTGAATTTATCTGTTTATTTGGGCTAAACGACCTCTGCAATCGTTTTTGGGTTATATCAATTACCTAAACTTAAAACATTTAATTTACTCTTAACAAAGTATTTCTGTAATAAAACTTAATCTCTTTTGATGCATTCTTATTATTTTGATTTCTCAATATCACCAGATTCATGAATCATTTACTTCAGGTCCTTCTGAAGCTATGGACATAACCAGAGAGGTAAAGAATTCCATTTAAAGCATGATAGATGAGCCTTATTCTTTTATTCTCTTTTCCATGTCTGAGATATCAACAAGCCCTAATATGAAAAGTAATACCGGGAGTATAGGCAATAAGAGGAGGAGCAGATGCTGTCATAGCTGTTGGAGGAGATGGTACTCTTCATGAGGTACAAATGCGAATGTGTTGATATTTTTTGTTGGATACCAGCCAGTACATATTTCTTTTTAACTTAATTAGTCTTAAGGATATATTATCTTCATGAAAATAAACTTAACATCATCTAAATCAGTGTAATTCATCAGTCCTTGTTCCTTAATGTTCTTTATAAGGTAGCGTTCTCAATGGAACAACAGTAGCAGTTCAAGATAGTATACTGTAACCAACTTTTATCAGAGTTTCCTACAAAAAAAATGAGGTTTAAATCTTAGGCGTTTTGATCCATGAAAAAACCCAACCAGGGGCTGCAGTAACCCAAACTTCATATAGCATAGTTGGAGTTTATTGAATGTGAATTCAATCAGCTTGAGATTTTTTTTTCTTAGTTCCTTGCTCTGTTTTTTTTTTTTCATTAGGGTGTGTGATTCTAATTTCGACTCTAAAGTCTGAACGTTGTTTCTACCAAAAATTCAAGATAAGACAAGTGAAAAACCTATTGAAGGTAAAATTTGATTATTTGAATATGATAAACACTGACATTTCCCTTGCAGTGACCTTTATCCTTATGACATGTTTTACAAGTCTAATATAGTCTAATTTGTTGTCTGCAATCTATTTGAGTATTTGCCTAGATTTATAAAAGCTTTTCATGTAGTTATTTGCTGAAATTATTAATGGACTCCCAGGACTATGCCCACTTTGTTTTGCATTATTATAGATATGATTTGCTCTTGATTTACTACCTTTTCTTCATTACTTATTTATCATAATTTCTTATTTAACTTCTAACTTAAATTATACCCCTATTTGTTTATCATTCTGTAAAGACCTGTATCCATCATAGCCAAAATCTAAAAATTTATGCATATTTTGCGAGTCAAAAACTCTTATTTGCACATATTGTGACCTTTAGGTCATTCATTTCAACTAGCAGGTTGTCAACGGTTTCTTTTGGGCAGGAAAACCAATATGTGCTCTAGAAAGAGGGTCCATACATGCAACTACACTTGGAGTGAGTAATTGGAGGCCATCTGTTTCTCAACGTAGTACTCTCTCTTTACTTCTTAAATTGATTTTTTAAAAATCATACTATCATTTGCAGCTTATTCCACTGGGAACTGGTTCAGATTTTGCCAGAACATATGGGTGGTTAGTTCTATGATGCAATGGACCCTTTGATAAACTGATAACTTCTTAATGCTGATCTCATGAGAACCTGCTTTGATTTGTTTGACCAGGAAAAATGATCCTCATCAGGCAATAGATCGAATTGCTAAAGGTTACTTAAAGCAACTCAACACAAATGCCTCCTCTAGTAGTTGTCAGCGTATCTCTGCAAAGTTATTTTCTATTTTTGAAGTCTGTGGACTGATATGGCATTAGTGAGCTCAAATATATTTTGTGTTACAATATATTATATATCGTTATTAGCGCCACAAGATGAATGAAATTTCTTTTAAATCCAACAAATATGTTTGCTTTGAGAATTTTCTTTTGCAGTTATATAAGGTGACTTCCTCTGGTCCTTACCGCTTTTTTCAAAATTCATCGCAATTCTTTTGTTTGGTTTGAGTAGCAAGAACCTTAAGTTCCATTATGTTTCATGCAGGATTTAGATCGAAAATAGACATTGGTCTCATGACCTTATCAGGAGGGGAACAGCATTACTTCATTAATGTTGCTGATATACATCTGTATGTTTGTCAACGTTGTTGATTGATTCAGAATATTGAATTGATTGTTCATGATACATAATGTTCACTTTTTTTTGAGATTGCAGGAGTGCAAAAGCAGGCTACTATGCTTCCAAGTACAAAAGTTTTGGAAACTTCTGTTATGTCTTGGGAGCCTTGAGAGCTTTTATTGGACACCATAATCAAGACCTTAAGATTAAGGTAATATCATATCAAATATTTTGTAGAGGCTTCTGATTTATCTTCATCATGCTTTTCCTATTCCGTTTATTTTGTTTTTAAAAAAATTTAAGTTATTGCGTATTGTGCACTATAGGTTAATGGACAAGATTGGGAGGTATATGATAAAGTCACGGCCCTTTGCATTGGGAATGCTAAGTTCTTTGGTGGTGGCATGAAGATTGTACCTACTGCTGATCCTTGCAGTGGAGACCTGGAGGTTTTTCTAATATTAATTTGTTCTCTGTGATTTTACTAGAAATGTAATGCCAGAACTTCGATGATTCAGGTGGTGATTCTTCAAGACTTCAAATGGTATGATTTTGTTTTCAAATTATACAAGCTGTACAATGGATCACATCTATCAGAAAAAAGTGTGTATTCAACTAGGTAATTTCTTTCGTTTTAAGAGATGTTTATTAAATTGTTGTTAACTTGTATAATTGTTAGTTCTAAACCCTTTTGCCCATAAAATTTCTCTGTTGTTAATTGTTTTTCCATGGTATGGTTTTATTATGTCTGATTTACATGCAATAAAATCCAACTAATTATTGAAAAGTTTTGTAAATAGAAAATATAGCAAGATGAAGTGTCATTTGAATTAGATATTGAAAAAAGATTAGTCATAGAATAATTCTTCATCAAATTATGTATTTAAAGTGAAATATGAACTACTTGCATCAAAACCCATCATAGACTATGCACTAGAAATTTCTCTAAACCCCAATAACTTCTTCTTGCATCCACGGGTGTAGCCATGATTTTTTTCACGTGGGGGCACAAATTATTGAATTTAAAAAAACCCTCAATCTTTTTCGTCCGGACTTGGGACTGACATAAGTGGTTTTAAATATAAAAAAATTTAAATCGTCATACTCAACATGAAAAAAATTAATATATGATAAAGAAAAAAATATACATATGAGAACTTTAAATATTGATATTCTTCTTACATATTTTCTATAATTTCTCGTACCTAATTCTTCATTTTTTGAAATCGTTGTACAATCATTTCATTATTAATACTATTAAATATATATTTTTTCAATATAATTAAGTAATAATTTGAAAATATAAGTTTCAAATATTAACAGAAAGTAGAAATTATTTAATCTAATTTATATTAACATGCACTGTTAAAAATCTTGTACAAATTAAGTAAACAACAACTATTTAATTTCTTTTAACTATTTGCTTTTCATCGCAGATATATTTAGATTAGATCTCATGTGATGATATAAAACTTTCTAAGCTTTTTAAACTAGTGTAATGTATCCAATTCTATCAGGCCTACACTTTGGCCTTTTCACACCATATCCCAATAATGACGTACTGTAGTCATTCTTTTTAAAGTGATGTACTAATAAGCAAAAGCAATTTACTATATATAAAATACTATTAATTATGCCTATTCTCCAAAAAAAAAAATAAAAATACTATTTACTATACCTGACAGAAAGAAGCAAGTGACTCTGTCTCCGCCTCCGAACTCTCCATGAGGATCATCGACCACGACTGGCAATGACGGAAGGGATGAAGGAATTAGATTTTAGCAGAAGAGCGGAACAACGGAAGAAGCATGAGGGGAAATAAATAAAAGTTTTTTTTTCTTAATTAAGGATTACCAAAACTTTTTTTTAGAAATCATATCTAGCTTAATTAGGCATTCATTAAGAGGTCAGTGGGGAGGCGTGCCCCCAAGGCCCCCATGCTAAATCTGCCGCTGCTTGCATCTCAACTTGAAATTGAGCAACAGTTGAACCGAGTCTTTGCCTAGTGTTTCATATCCCAGCTCTCAACTGTGAGGTCATGTGTTCAATCCCTTCTCACACTATTACTCATTTATTGGAAAAATATATGTTGGGTATTTTCATTTGGTACATGTAACAAAGGTTTGTCCCATTTGATGGCATGTGCCTCTTTATAATATATATGGAATAAATTTTCATCTTTTTTAGAAAAAAATATGAAATTAAGTAAGAGTCAAAACTTGAATTGGAAACTAAACATGAGATCCTATCTAAACATAAACATAAATTGGAATCTTAATTTATCCATAAAACTTAGCAAGCTATACTTGCTGACAATGTTAAGGGAAAATAATGGGAATTGAACCACAAATGGTGGATCTACAATCTAATGCTTTAATTCACTTGACAACATCCACTTTTTCCCTTATCTAGCTAGAGGATTCTCTCTTTAATCCATTCATCATTATTGTGTTGATACTTACTTTCATACTTTATATTATGGCCTCGTTTGATTAGGCTTTTTTTCTCCATTTCCGTTTGAATAAGCCGAAATCAATTAGTATTTACTGTTTGGAATCAAAGCTTAACAATAATTCCTTTTTAATAAACATCATTTTTTCGGCGGTTACAAAATTCTTTTCGTATCTGCTTCTTCGGTCACAAAACGGAGTTTCGGTCACAAAATGTCTTTTATAATAAAATCTCAAAAGCAAAACTCCTAAACAAACAATTTAAAATTACTTTCAAGTATTAATAAGCACTTTTAAAAATATTAGTCAAACATATCTCATTATTGAAACTCCATTTTATTGAACGGCTTTTTCTCAACCTCCTTTTCTAAAACTCATTTTTATGAAAGCATAAACCGAATCAAACGAAGCCTTAATGTCAGTAGAACACGTTCATGGTTGAATTTACCTCTTCCGAGCATTACTTAAAGTTTGCCAAACCCTGTTAAGAATTCTGTAAGGGGAAATAGAACCCCTTAGAGACAATTCATGTTTATAGATTCACCCTGGCGGCTTGGGAGGATACAAATTTTGGGTTGGAAAACACACAAAGATGGTATTCACTCTAGGCCTTCACAACTTGCTACTCAAACATGAAATACTGAAGAACTCAATGAAATTGGAAATGATGCTAGAGTTAGCATCTTAGTTTATTTACATAAATGAGTTGTTCTCGTAAGACCCACTTCATAACACCTAATTATTAGTTAGCATGATAGGGACAATTAAAATAAATTTGGATACCAATATCTGACCTCCAACTCACTATTGGTTAGCATGATAGGGACAATTAGATAAAAGTTGAACCCTAATATCTGACCATGTGCCCAAAGGCATCTTAGGGGCACAAATATGCTCTAAATCAATAAATATTATATGTAGATCCTCCTTATTCTCTCTATATTTCTCCATCAAACCTCTCAATAATTGTTTGACTTCCTTAGTAGACCTACCTGGCATGAATCCAAATTGATTTTGAGAAACATTAGTCATTTGTATCACGCCGCAACCTACGCTCCATAACTTGCTCCCATAGTTTTAAAGTATGAAACGTTAACTTAATTCCTTTATAATTCACACGCTCATGTGCATCACCTTTATTTTTAAAAATAGGAATTAACACACTCATTCTCCACTGATCTGACATCGTTTTAGTCTTCAAAATAATATTAAAAAGTAAGCCAATAAATTCCTTCATCTCCTAAGCATTTCCACATCTCTATTGGAAGATCATCAGGTCCAACAGCTTTTCCACACTTCATTTTCTTTAAGGTCTCTCTAACTTCGGTTTTACTTATACGCCGATAAAAACAAAAATCTTTATTTTCATTTAGGGTGATAAAGTTACTAAAGTCAATCATATTTTCATATTCTTCATTAAAAAGTTTAGCAAAATACCTGCTCCACCTTTGTTGAATATCTTCTTCTAAAAAAAGTATTTTTTTATCTAGTAGCTTATGTGAGAAACTGAGGATTTATCTGCTAATAATATCAATTAAATCGATATCCATTTGATTTTTTTTTAGTTTTCTGACTTACAAATTCACGAATTTTTTTTTAATGAAGTCAGAAGTTCATAAACATACCCATGGTTTATTCCTGTGCCTTATTTTCCAGAAAATTTTTGGTTGGTTTCAATGATCAATAATTCTTTAGATCTTTTTGATTATTTTGTTTAAAGAGATTACACTTTCATATAATGTACATTGTATTTATATAGCTTGCCACTCATCTTAGCGAAATTTTATGAAATCTTATAAACATACATTTAAGGTTCTCCTCTCATGCAATTATTTGTTGTATATCCATTAGAGCATATAAAACAATTTTCATTATTTCTCCATGTATTATTTATTTTTTTTATCCATGATTTGCATGAAAATATTTTATTATCTATGATAGTTATTTCTCTACTCTAAAAATTTGATAAAAGATATATGGAATTTAACGATGATGATATGGTGTAATCTGTTTATCTAAAAAGTCATACTTTAAGAATTCTTAAGAAATTAACTGTAAGACAAACATAACTGTTAAAGTTACACAATGAATCAAATGAAATGCATATTGCTGCATAGCACGCAATAGAATTGCAAAGAACCGTAGAAGCTAAATAACAAAAGTTTCCAAACGTCAATTCTTCAAGTTGTTGAAACGTCAAATAAGTTACTGAATACTCAAAGCTATAGAAGAAGAGATGTGAATTCTCAAGCGTCAATATGGAAAAGAAGTCCTAGACAGTGGCGGAGCCAGAATTTTTTTTAGGGAGGGGGCCTAACTTCAACATTGTTTCCACAGACATGTATATATTTAGTCACAGAGCAAGATTAAAGATTAATAACTGCTTAAAATCACAATTTGATGTATGTTAGGTAGCAGTAAAAGGTAAATCTGTTGTTTTTTTGGGGACAAATTAAGAGACAAACCCATTTCTATTAAAATAGAAAGAAATCAGTTACATGTGTAGGGGTAAGGGAGCAAAACTATGAAGGGGGAGGCATCCAGAAAATGTGTAAATAAAATACACCAAAATTCATGTGCACATAAAAACCGCACTAGCAAAATCAGCTAAGAAAATAAAACAGAAAGCAAATTAAATGTAAGAGGGATGGTAGGCTCAGTATAGGAATTGCAAACTGCAAACTGAAGCCTTAAATTTTTGGTTGATTAAAGAATAGGTTGCAGTAAAAGAATAGGTAGCAAGAATTAACTCTCCAACAGTTTCTTTAATGTAAAATTTTGGAAAAAGGGGTGGGGGGTGGGGGGGCCTCTAAGCCCCCCTCCCTTGGCCACTGGTCTTATAGAAGAACTCAAATTTCATTCATCCAATCAAGTTATTTTGTTCATTTCATGGGAGGTCTTATTTATAAAGAAATCAAACCCTAGATTGGTGCGAGACACCCTAATCTTTATTACATTTCAAACTAGCTTAAAAATAATAAATAATAGAAATTCAGCTGGTAAATAATAATGGGCTAGTAATACCTAAAACTAAAAGTAAGCTTGGTTTAGATATTTTGTCTCTTGGTTTGACTTTTTGGGTTTAAACTATAAGAAATGGAGTGTCTCTGAAGTCTGAACAAAATAGTTGATTTTTGCAACATCACTTCCTCTAGGACGGGAAGATCTCTCCTGCAGAGACTTATGTGGTGGAAGTTCTTAAATGCAGACAATATTTCTATCACTTTATAATAATTGTAGTATTCTTTGATGTTATTGTTACCACTGGACCGGTCCAGCCGGTCCAGGCAGGACCGGTTCACGGGCGGGAATCACAAACAGGCGGATCTGGCGGAGAACGAGCGGCCCGTCCGCCCCCATAGAGCCGTTTAGGAAGTTTTTTTGAGCGTTTTGAGAGGGAAATTTGAACGTAGGGACTGTTTAGGGAATTCCTTTTGATTTGTATGCATTAAATAGTAGATTTTCCTAGGGTTTGATCATCTTGAATTTGGCTGAAATTTGAGATCTGGTAGATTTAGGTTTCTTTGGGCTCTTGGCGTTGCCAGAGATTTGGGAGAGAACGATCCTCCTCTCGAATTGAGGATCAATTGTATCTTGCTATTTTATTCATCAACTAGTGGAATACAAGCTTTTCTTTGAGTTTTCTCTCAGATTTCCTTGTGGTTTTGCTGTTAATCTGCTGTAAACAGCAGATTTCTGCTGTGAACAGCAGTTTCCATCGGATCAACTTCAGTTTTGGTGAGAAACATTTGGGAACTCAAGTGTTTCCTATCAGTTATCAATAGAAATGAAAACCAAAAAACAAAAGCATACTTGGACGGGCTTAAACTTCACCTTTCAGAGCATAAAGAAGATCTGGAGATTGGATATTGCCTCAAAATGGTAGCATTGTTGTATCATAAAAAGATGACTAATACTAATATTAAAAAGGAAAGTATGAACAAGCACATTAGATTCTTGTTGACTACCATTATAATAAGGTTTTATGGGTCTGGTTGAGAAAGACAATTAGGGAAAGTGCAGATCATATGTAAAAGATAAACAAACAATTCATTGTTCTCTAAAAAAAATTTCTAAAGATTGTATGATAATCATGTCTTTCATCATGTATAACAACATATCTTTAAAAACTAACATATATTTGAAAACTAATATATAATTCATGCAAATGTTCAACAAAACATAATAAAGTCATAGAATTCATAAATGGGGAATGCACAACTATAGATTGTTTGATGACTAATTCTTGAAGAGAAGTTGAATCATTAAAAGATTGAGAATCAAACTCTGAATTATTTAATTATTATTATTTCCACTTTAGATTCCATTCCTGCTTCAAATTCAGATGAATCCATTAAGAATATTACAATAGACCATATAGGATATTTAAGCTAACAAAAAAGGTTTATTATCCTCCAATTCTTCAACATTTTCATTATTAAGGCTCATTAGATTATTTCATAACAACCATAATTTTATGAGAATATCAAGAGATAAATGACATTTTCCATCACACTTTTAACAGATAACTTCAATAGTTTATTAGGATTTCTAGAATGTGTAGGTGTATTTGTAGGCTCAGTTAGGGGCATACAGCAGTTGACTTGATTGATCTATACAGAACCCTGCCTTAATGTTGCTAGATTGATTGATATTATTTCTAAAAGAAATACGTAGTTGCCTTTCCATGTCTTAGGCTTTATGTTGAGATTCTTCATCATTCCTTAGTTAAAAGAGTCTTCTGATAGCAAGACAAAGATCGTTTAAAACCTAGCTATTACTACTGATGTTTCTTTTTGAAAATCACATTTAGAATTCCGCTCTTCAAGTTGTTTTAAATATTCATTAGTATTTCGATTGTTTTGGCTTAAAGTTTTTAGTTATTCAACTAATCTAGACTTGTAATAGGTGGTTAAATACATGTGTATCACTTTAGCTTTCCTATAAGCCCAAATTTTAATTTGACATTCAATAAATTGTTCGTGTCATGTTGGATTCCTAACCAAAATTTTTTGGTAGCACCAACTAATATAATATTTGCATGCTAAACACATTCATGATCGATCATATAATTTCAATCAAAAAGATTTTCAAATTCAGATATCCAATAAATAAAAATATTTGGATCATATTAGCCATAAAAAAATAGGGGCATCAACTTAAATATTTTATTACTTCATATTCACATGATGTCAATTGCAGCACTCAATTATTTTTTTTCAGTGCCAATTCTCTCAATTATTATAATCATCATTAGAATAATTACATTTATTCAGGTTGGAAGAATCAAAACAAGCAATAATTTTTGTGCATTGTATGCATCTTCTTTTCTTTAGTTGGTTAATTTTATCTGTTATTTTTGTTCTGAGAACATGCCTATGACGAAGGTTGTGAAGATTGTATGGTTGAGGAGGGTATTTCTTAATTTTAGGTTAGTTTATTGGAATGACATGATATCGGTGTTGATCTTAAATGGGTTAATTCACCCATAAACTAAAGACAAATATGCTAGAATGTTGTTGGATTTTAAATCAAAAGTTTAATTTGTTGGATTAATTTTTTTCTAGTTGGTCATACTTGGATAATACATCATTATTTGTAAATAATGTTGTAGGAATCGTTCAAAAAATAAAAATAAAAATAAAAAGAACTGAAGAAAAAAAAGTGTAACGGAATCTCGTCATCTTTGCGGGATACTCTTTGGATGTATATTGTGCTAAGTTAGCATATAGAATTGACATTGTGGTGGTTGTACTATCCTGATCTTTGGGCGACATGTGTGATTGGTAAGATTTGCAAGTAACGGGACCGATGACGTGGATTGCTTTACGATTTTTCTTTTAATTGTTGAAGTTGATTGTGTTTTGCCAATTTGAAATTAAATTGTGATTAAAAATTAGATTGAGAATAATCTTTTGCCAACCTTTTCTACTAGCTTTTCGATGATAAAGAGTTTAGAAATAACGGTCTAAGGCATGAAATTTAAAATTGTTTTGAATAAATCTCTTTCGATTTTCAATGTTGTGAGTGCAAATTGGATTAGAAATTTCATACACAATACAATTGTGATTACTTGTTTTCGGGGAAAGTCATATCTAGTGTGAAACGTTATTTTTCTCTACTTTGGTAAATTTATCCTTATATATTTCTCCTATCTAATGTATTATCGTCTCATTTTGCACTCTTGATTTCGGTAGAAATTTGATACTTTACAAATCTGATTTTATGTACACTATTTTATTTTGCTTAATGATTTACTTTGTTTATAAAATTTTCCTTAACTTTTTTAAATTTTTCTGAGACATTTTCCATCTACTGGTGAATCACTGGTCAATCTATAAATACCTTGTTTGTTTCTTTTATTTGACAGTCTCTCTTTGTGCAGTGTGAAGTCTATTGAAGTTGCCATGGTAGAAGGCAATGGTGACATTTATGTGCAGTCTGATGGTGAACATCTGGGCTTTCTTCCAGTTAAGTGTTCGATTTTGCCTTCTGTCATTGATTTTTTCGTCTAAATCTATATCAATATCTATGACCTACCTCCTTAAGCATTCCAGGTTATTTGTTAGCTATTATTAGCGTCTAATGAAATTTTGTAATTGTTTTTTACCTGTTGTTTGTAATGCTCTTTCTAAATGGTTCCATGAGTTTATTTATTTCTATTAGCTAATGAAATATTGTAACTCATTTCTCATTAACCATTCGAAAACAAGCAATAAATTTTGTGGTGAATTTTTATTTATTGTTGATTAACTTGATAATTGATATACGCCCATGTTTAATATTAACTTGAATCTTGATTGGTGGCTTAATTTGAATCATGTAATTCGCTGGTGGCCATTAGAAGAAGATATTTATACTTTTATAGTATAATGTATATGGGTATATGCTACTTTTTTATTAAGATTCAAATCTTTTACATTACGCAACTCATCTTGATTTGTTGGTTGGGGGCTTTGGTAGTTTGGTTCTCAACCGAAAGGTATTGGATTCGAGTCTTATGTATGTGATGTGTGTGTGAGTTTGTCTTAATTGATCCAAATGTCCCAAAACTTTAATATTACATACATACCACTTTATTTCATGTTATTTACATATCCAATACCCAAATTTTTAATATTACATTCTTAACACTCATATAAAATTTTAATATCAAATATAACACTCCTATATTTTATTCTTACCACCCATTCCACCTTATAAACTTTAACATTTTATTTCATGCACTCATATTTGTTCTATGAGTAGTATGTATGTAATATTAAAGTTTTGGGTGTTAGAATATAAATAGCATGAAATAAAGTGATATGTATGTAAATCCGTTACATACATACCACTTTATTTCATGCTATTTACATATATATAACACCCAAAATTTTAATATTACATTCTTAACACCCAAAATCTTTTACATTAAATGATATAATGTTTGCTTGTTTCATTTTCATGCCAAGCATTTAAAATAAGTTAATCTTTTAGGGGTGTGAACATTGCTCATATTTGTCTGAGTGGTTTATTTATAGAAATCCTTGCAGTAATTTCCATTCATCTGTATTAGCATATCTTGCTGGGGCCTCCCAAGTTTAAAGCACTGATTCATGATTTTGACCCAAAGAATCTGCACATTATCTTTCTATATTTTTTCCAAAAAAAAAAAAAAAAAAAATCTCATTCTTATGTTCTATTTAAAGCATGCAGATACAAAAGATTATTACGAATTGCCTCAGTCTCCTGCAACTATTCTAGCAAGTTTAATTTAACAGCTTCCTGCTCCATAAAAGATAAATTTTCCTTTTGTTCCTCCTCATAGTTCAAGCTAATCAAATGAAGAGACTAAGCAAAATTCTAAAAATATAATTTGAGAGAATTCCTTGCACATTCTTTATTTTATTTTGAATAACCAATATAGGATCCTCACTTGAACTCATTGTTCAGTAGTTTTAAAATTAGCTATCGATTTCAATTTTAATTTTATCGTAAAGATTTTTACTTTGATTTTTTTTTTTAACTTTATGATTCAAGTTATAATATACATGAAATTTGATGGGATCATTTATGCTTGAATTATTTACGGATGGTTTAGAAGTTAGTAAATTTTTGTTAAAAATCTGTAAATTTTCAAACCTCAATCATAAAAAAAAGCTAAAAAAATTACTTTCTACAATAAATATCAAACTAAAACTTACTCTATGATTAATAAATAAAAATTACACTAATCTCAACACAATAATTTTAATGCCCATACTGATACAACACATCAAGCAAACTTAATTGATAAAAATATTAACAAATCTCTTTTGCTCAAATCTATATAGTTTTAACACTCAAAAAACCAAAAAACCAAAAAAAAAAAAGATTACAGATCTACATTCAGAAGCTAAAAGCTCTCTACAATAAATTCAAGCCCAACACTGTCAAGAAACTTTAAACAAGAAGAAAAAAGAACATTTTAATACAACAAGCATCATATATTTATCTACTCTTCTACCCTATAAGCAGCTCGGTATTTACATAGATAAACCTCAAGAACAAATATACAATTCAAAAAAGATACCATTCGAGAGGGCTGTCAGTTTTGTACAGAGGCAAATACAGTGCATGCCGGAGAGGTTTCTTCTTCAAGAAGCGTAAACACCATTAAAGGCAGCTCACATTTATTTCATTAATAATAGAGTATTATTGCTCGGCTTTCACCCTATAAACAAATTTGATAAAAATGATAACTTGGTTGAAATATAATTGAAACAGAGAAAAGAAAAAAGAGGAGAGAGACTTACAGGAACGGGACATTTATAGGTTCGGCAGCTTTAAGCATGCCCTTAGTACCGCTTGATTTGCCTTCCTCCGCACAGGCATCATACAGGGAAAGCAGCCTTCTCTGCAAGAATACAACTTTTTTAGAATGACTTGAATACAATAACAACAACAACAATCATCTGTTCATGAAATAAATTTTTTTACTTATTTTTTTATTTGTTTATCTCACTATTAAGAGCTAAATTCTCATTCAAATTTAATTAAAAAAAATTATTTTTAATACTTTCTAACCAAATTCTTATAGATCTACTTCTATATTTCTTAACATACGTCAAATCTAATACATCTACTCTCCTAAAAAGGTCATTGGAAGACCAACTTCTTATGTGACCAAGCCATCTAAGGCGGCTCTCTCTTATCTTATTTGCCATTGGAGCTACTCCAACCTTTTTCATGTATAAACTCATTTCGCATTCTGTCTCTAAGTGTAAAGCGACTTATCCACCTAAGCATCCTCATCTTTGCAACACTTAATTTTATACTTCTCTTTTAATGGCCAACATTATGCACCGTAAAGCATTCAAGGTCTCACCACCATCTTATAAAATTTTCTTAAATTTGAGAGGTACTTTTCTATCACACAACAGACCGTCAGATACGATGCACTCCATTTCAAATATTCAACTTGAATTCTACTACTAATATCCTCATATATTTTAGCATCATTTTTAACAAATAGACCTAAGATAGCTAAAACATGCACTCTTTTTAATTAGAAAAATTTCAGCTTTGCAAGTTTTATGGCACTCACATGGTCTTCAAAATCAGGATTTGTCAGATTGATGGAGAGATTTCTCATCAGCAATAAAACCTGTGCAGTGAACATTAAGATATCAATGATTCGAACACATTTAAATCACCCAATTGAATCGTAGAAGTTGAAATAGCATAAGCGGAAGGCACATGGGCAAAAATCAGCACTAGATTAACTAACAACAAAAGCTATTTCAAAGAAAAAAATGCCTCAAACATTACCATCAGAAAGTTTCAGGAGAAAAATGTAACACAGCTATCCCGGAAAAAACATAAAAAGGTTCAGAATGATGTGAAGATATACAGTCTAGTTGGGACAAAGGTTCAAGTGTTTTTAATGAAATTGACTACTTCGTTTAGAAATCAATATCTGTAACCAGCCATCTAACTTGGTGTGATGTTTTATGGATTCTACAGACAACCAAATATAAAAACTAATATAAAATATTTTAAGTTATCTCAACCTGAAACCCAATCCAGAATAAATAGGGGAGATATAAAAAATACTAAATAGATAGGATTTTATCTTTGGCTCAAGCCCCTTACATAAATATGCTTATTAAGAATGTTTGCTGGCTCGGCAAAGTTAAATTTAAACAGATAAAGACTTTAGCAAACTTAAAAAATGGCCACAATTAAAGACACAGGTGGTTTGGACACAGAAAATGACTTATACTTTATTTGGGGCAACTTTCTAAAGCAGTTTTCAAGTACACAAATTTTTAATTCAAGTAATTTTTGTATTAGAGAGCTGTTTTAAAAAGCAATAAAAAATCTGTTCCAAATGAAACCTTAATCTAGAAAACATGCTTATGCAGAGGTTCAAATCTTAAACGAGAGCAACATATATGAAGGAAATGAACTATGAGTGGCACAAGAATACAATTTCTCTCCATCTATACTGAACATTTTTTTTTTTTAACTCAGAACATTTTCTATCCATCTACACACTTATGCTCCCATCAACTTTAAGGTCTTTCCTGAAAAATTATTACATGCAGTGTCCAACCGCGTCCGGAGGCCAATCCGGACACGCCATGTCACCAAATGCACAATACATTGGATGATGTGGCGCGTCCGGATTGACCTCCGGACACGTTAGGACACCGCACAAAATAATCTCTCATTTGAAAGGATTGTTGTTCGTAATCTTACTTTCTACCATGAACTCCATGTCTTAATGGACAAATCTATATTAAGAACAAAATAATAGATTACTGTTGCTGGTCATTCATGGTAGATGTTGCAAAGCCATTCCATAATTCTCATACATAACAGAACTTCCATCAACCGATATTAAAACTATTTATTAATAAAAAATAAACCTGAAAGCAACACGAATTTGAAGGAGCAGAATTTAAATCTAAGTTGAAAGATGGCATACTGTTTCAACATCAATTGGGTCCATTTCCATCAACTTCTGCAAGTGACCTCTTTTGCTAGGATCAAAGATATTTCCAATAAAGCTGTAAACTCGAGCAAAGTCTGGCATAGCTTCATAAAACACAAAAATTAGAAATAAAGAGATAAAGCAAAACCAAGACGAGTACAAAGAAGCAAAGCTATGAACATATAAGATTATAACACAAAATAATATAGAACATTCCAACAAAGTATACGTATTAAGTATATCAATCATAAACACTTCAAAAGCCTTCTGTCTTTGTCGGACGCTTGTCAAACATGAACACACTTCCAAAACACCCTCACACACATCCAACATACTAAAAAGGGCATATGATGTATTTTTCCTTATTAAAAGTAGAGCTAAATATCACAAGGACACATTTTGATAGGACATGAATACACATCATGATAAGCTTCTTGAAGGGTCAAGAAGATGAGGCACCTTTTTAGAGCAGGTGTAAACCTTCAAAGAAAAAGGAAGAGAAGTGCATAAGAAGGAAAAAACATAAATTTCTTATTCCATAATAAGCTTTTACAACTAGAGAGGTATTTATAATACTTTAGTAGACCAACTAGTTACTAAAGAACCCTTCAACCTAAAACAAATAAAAGAAGTGCCAAATATGACGAAGAATGCCAGGATGAAGCATTTCAGAGACTAATTGTTCCATCACATTCTTTTGAAAAAAGTAGATAAATATAAGTTGGATGTGAATAGGTTTAGATAAGGAAGGAAGGTGAATACGATGATCAATAGTGCGAGGTGGTGGATAGGCCTTATGGAGGTTGAAACTTGAAATACGTGTTGGAATTGTTTGAGATAAGAATGGAAAGGGGTAAATGAGTTGTGAGTTTATCTATGCAATTAGCCAATAGGTTTGTAGAGGAAAAAGTTGGATCTATGAGGTGTGATTGAACAGTGAAGAGTTGAATGGTGGGAGAATGAGAAATGATTGCACGAACTAATTACAGGAAATAGGATCACATTATAATTGGGATTCGCTTGTCAGTGTAATCTGCCTATTTTGATTATGGAATCACATAATAAGATTTTGATAATCGTGTAAAATAGGTCTTATAGATTCTGGCCATTGCATGCCAAAAATGATATCAGCATCATGCATTGAGAGAACAAATAGATCTAAACAAATTCGATAGCCTTGAATAGTATTGTTTACTTGAGGACATTTATAATTACAATTTAATAAGCACAAATACATCAAATTGTTTACTAGGTTGAGGATGAAGAAATAATTTGGTGATGAGGTGTTCTTGAATGAAATTATAAGTACTACCGCTATCAATTAATATTTGCACATTATGCTTATTAATTGAGCTGGTTAATAGAAAAGAATGAGTTGAACTGTCCAGCTAAAACATTAAGACTGGTTCCCGTTGAGGATTTAGATGTTCATCATTAATAAAAGAGAGAAAAAAGTCATATGCTAAGTCAAAGTCATCAGTGCCAGTAAGATATAGAACTTAATTGATCAACGATGTTTGGGGCCATATTTTGCATCACAATTGAAATATAGACATTTTTCACAACGAAATTGAATTTCAGCTGGTGAGAGTTTTCAGATTGGAAGATTTTGAGGCTTAGGGATAGTTGGTGCAGAAGAGAGAAGAGGGAAGAGAGAATGGGAGATAATGTAGTAGTTGAATTGATGCTAGAATGTAAAGAATTAGATTTAGTATTTTTGAGAGTAGGATGGTATGATTTTCTCCAAGAGGAGGAATGAAAAAGAAATAAAACTTGAATTTTTTCTTCATGACGTCGTGTTAAATCCATAGGAGGTCGTGCAAGAAGTTCACATTGGATTTCTTGTTGAAGTCCTGATATGAAATACTAATGAGTGTGGATTCCGATAAGTTAAGAGACTTTAAACACAAGTTTTTTTAATGCTATTTGATATTCTATGACAAAACTTTGTTGAGTTAGTTTTGAAAGATTCTAATGTAAATCTTCGTGTGTGGAGATACCAAATCACTATTGTAAAGAAAGGATAAAGTCGGGCCAAGAAAATAATTGGTCCTTCAAATGCAATGATGGGTACCAAGTAGTTGCCGGACCTTCGAGGTGAAAAGAGGCGATTCGAATATGATGACATTCAGGTGTATTATGAAAATCAAAATATTCTTGTGCTTTAAAGATCCAAATTTCTACGTTTATCCCTTTAAAATGAGGAATCTAAATTTTCTTGGTTTAAAGAAATTTAAAATTCCTAAGAGGTAGGAATGGGTGATGAGAAGTGATTTGGTTACCCGATCCCCGAATGGCAGTTGAAGATTGAGATCCTTAATGGGGTGAGGTGTGAGGTCGATAGGTGCATAGTCAAGGTGTTTGTCAACAGAGTCCATTAACACATGGAATTGTTAGTGAGTGTGCCAATGGATGCAAATTGGAAATAAGCTTTTTAGAGGGATTTTTGGATTTCCAAAAAATGTAATTCTTAGTTGGTTTGCATGGTGCATAGGGCTTCTGCTAGATCCTGCAATTGTGAAAAGAGAAAAAACTAGTAGAAAAATGAAATTAAGAAAAAAAATCTAAAAGAAAAACAAAGAATCTGTATTATCTTGAATACAATTGGTGTATGAAAGGAAGTTTGCAGTTAAATGATTGTTATTCACTAAGTTTACAATATTAATGATATATCAATGTGATCATATTTTGAGTGTGATTATTTTGAAGATTATATACTATCTTTTGAGTTTTTGGCATTTTGTGTATACAATGTGAAGTTCATATTAAAAAAATGATGTCCAATGATTAATTTTAATGCTATTGTACTGTTGAAAATTAAGTACATGTGATGTGTAAATGTAATTAAACTAATATTATGCTTTGTTCTATTAACCTTTAAGCTTCTCACATGATATTAGACCTCATTGTGTAGTGCTTTTTGAATGAAAATTTTAATATTAAGAGCATTGATTAATTATTTTAAAAGGATAATTTATAAAAGAAAATATTGTATTAATAGTGTGTCGTGTCCTACTTTTAGTTTAAAACATGTCATTATGTCTATGTCGTGTCATGTCCATGTCCTAATTTCCATAAAACTCCAACCTTTTGGGTACTAGATAAACTATAATCAGCCATCAATGAATTCTATCCAAAGAAATTCCATTTAGGTCAAAGGGTATATAAGGGAAGCTTGTTACCATTATGCCATGCAAATAGTATATTAGATGCACATATCAGTCAAAATATTGATATCATTACCATAAAAAAAAATTAAAAAAAAAAACATTTCTAATCAATTCTTTTATGATGCAAACAGATATATTAAATTTACATGTATTAGAAAAATCTTAAATTTGATAAACAGTATTACTAAAGATGTTCTATAAAGTCAATATTGACAGTAATAGTAATATACTGTAAAAGAAAAATAACCTTTTACTATGACTACTCTTGACCGTAGTCCATTCTCTTTTTTTTTTTAACTAAACTGCATATTTCATCTGCGTAACTTTTTAATTTATTTATTTATTATTATTTTTTTAAGCACAAATACTTGGATAAGTCCTTCGCGTAGTTATATTAACCAGGATCATTTGTTGAAATGCTTAGATAAGTACTAAGGACACACTGAGCTTAGCATTTGAATATACAAAGCTCAAGTTTGAAAAAAAGTTTCTTAGGTAGCAGCAATTATAGGCACAAAAATAGCAGCAATTCAAACAAATCCTCCATAACATGTAGCAAAATATTTGAAAGTAGACAATGTCTTAGCTCCACTATCTCAAGATTTCTTTTTCACCAAACAGACTCTATCTAAAATATTGCAAACAACCCCGAGTTTGATGCTATATGAATAGCTAACCGTATTAAGGTATCAATGAACCAAACAACTAACATTTGCTATTGAGGTAATACAGCACTCAATATAATGAACCAAACAACCTAGATTATTTGTTTAGTGATAAAGAAGAACACCAATGACATTCTCCACTTAATTCCAACAACAAGCTGAAGATACAGAAGAACAAGTGCAAGCATATCTAGTCCACCCCACTGAACATGCAAGAAAACTAAAGACCCTACAGCTGTAGGATGATCCCTAGAGCAGCATAATTGAAAAGCCAACATTGATTAAGCATGAACAAGCGAAACTTAGCTAATATTTTCTTATTAAATCTTGAATTAAGCATTGATGGCTTAATTTCCGCTTTCCTTATGGAAATCCAACACGTTAAGTGTATTAATTATTGGAGGTAGTTTTTTGTTCTCTTGTTTAATTAGAGATGGAAGCACTAAGAATACTCAAAAAAGCTCCAGACAGAAGTAAATTCTTAGCATGTAATCCCCATTCAGAAGGACCACTAATTCAACTTGGCTTCCATCTACTTGACATTACATAATTTCTCTTTGAAGGGACAAGTTCAATCAAAACATTAATGAAAAACAAGCTGTGCAATGCCGTCAACTGTGAAAATATGTATTTTAGCGAGTAAAATTAGTTCTGTACCGCGAACTGATGGGACATGATGCCCTTGATCAGTGGTTTCACAAATTTGCCTTATCCTTTGAGGGTTTTCAGTGCTGCTGCTGCTAGAACTATTATTAAGCAACATACTTCCTGTAGGCCCAGCATCTTCTGCAAAACAAATTCAATAAGTAAAGATAAAGATCAAGCCACTATGTAAACAATATGTGCTTCTGAAGGGTTATAGTGCTATTTTTAATCAAGGGTGATAGAGCTAGTTGTAATTAACTGACGCGAAGTTGAATGATCTATTAAGAGCTAAACCTTTTATTGTGTGTAAAGCTTCAACAGGCTGAATAGGGACCCATGAAGAAATTGCTCCACTTGTAGAATTTCTAATCACTGATGACCTATCTGATGTAAGAGTATAGACTGGTTCAGGCAGACATGGGGAAGTTTGAAATGAAGTTGTAGGCTGTGGCACTTGGTGACCTGTGAAAATATGTCAAATAAAACATATTTTAGCCACAAGCTGCTGAAAGTTAATGACAGTATTAACTCTTACCATTTTTAGAAGCTTTCTGAGGATATGGATGAGCAGCTTTGCGCTTGGGCCGAGGAGGTGGGACATGCTCACTTGTTCCATTTTTCTGAACTTTTAAAAAGTATTTCTGTGCATGGCTCCTGATCTGCAAAAATGCATTTCATGAACTTAAAATTTATCATCAACACCTTATTCCAACTAATTGAGGTTGGCTTTATGAATCCTCGTTGTCCACTTATTCCTAATTCCTATTAAGCGTTGAATGAGAAGCTCATTTCACATTGTCTGCCTATTTTCCTTCTTTATTATTTCACATGAATTTTATCAATCTATTTTATTGGTCCATCATAAACCCAATATTATTTATGGACAAACCATCACATCTCTTTTGCAATATTAAATCTTCCATACTTGCCACTGCCAACATCTCTAATAAAATTCTTTCACCAAGTATTCTTTCTAATTTTAGCATGCCTCCATTTTATCCAGAAATCAAAGAACCTCCACATCCATATAATACCTTCAAAAGTTTAGAGCAAGAATAATACAAGCAAATTTTATGATATTAGCAAAACCTGAAGCAAAATAAATCCCGCATTTTAATTACAATATGAACACCGTGATAAGATGAAGTTTGGTTTGGAATAGCCGTATCTAGAAAAAACAGCCAATTAATGTAAGAGGTTAAGCACATTACAGTAGTTTAAAGGTAAAAATAATATCTAAAGATGTTTGAGGGATCTAAAAGCAAGGGCTAAGTTGACAATCAACCAAAATTAAAAGGGTATCAATAATGAAGTAACATGTCCAACATACTTTTGATCTGTTTCCTGTTAGAAAGCACTACAAACCAGACCACTAGAGCTTGATAACTGATAGATCATAGAACCCACTGTAGCTTGAACTAGTTCAAGATGCCAATTACATGATTGATAATAAGTAAGGATAGGCACAGGTGTGCACGCACAATGATTTTTGGAATATAATTTTTTACTATTGGATAACTGCAGCTTAGATCTCTTTTTTACATTCTTAGAGAATCTAATATGCAAACTGTTAAATTCAGAGCATTGGAAAGGGAAAAGGATTTTTAATTTTATTAAACAAAACTATTCATATTTATAGATCTATACAAGATATCTTAATAAAAAAATAAATAATTATGGAATCATGCATAGTTGCCCTAATATAATCCTTCCTAAATTAGCCACCCAAATATGGGCCTCCCACAAATCCCCTTGCTGGCCATGGGATCAAGGGCCAAGGGACGGATAGGATTTAACACTCCCCTCCAAGCTGGGGAATACAAATATGTCATTCCTAGCTTGATAATTAGTCTCAGTGAAGTAGAGTTATCAAGTCCTTTGGTTCACCATAAAGTTCTTCATTTGGCCAAAGCTTTGGGAGAAATTAGCTTCAGACATTGCAATGGCAAAGGGTAGCAGTGAAGGCTATATTAGGCAGGGTAGCAATGAAGGCTGCATTAATTATAGATAGGATAGTAACCACAATGGAAGGCTAGCAATGAAGACACAAAAATAGGAAAAAAATGTTTTTAGGGTTTTGACAAGCTTCAAGGATAGTAGCAGAAAAACACATCTCAAGTGGCTCGGCGCTTGGCACACAAATCTCCTCCCATCTGATCAAGCCAGCCAGCAGCCAAATGCAAATCAGCCATCCGACTCCACTTGAATACTCATATGTGATCGACACTTTACAGCCACACGGACTCCACTTGAATATTCATATTCGATCGGTACTGTACAGACACACGCAAGGCCCTCCCTCTGGCCTGATCATAGAAAGGAGTGTAGGTCATGCACCCTTGCTTGTCCAGACCCTAGACCCTCACGAGAGGGAACTCTTAGCTCTTTCCATACGCACGAAAGAGGTCCTACGCTCTACTTTTCTAGCTTCTACTCAGTTGACTCTGGACGTTGCACGGAAGAGAAGCCCTCCCGCTCAATCTCTCCTCAGTCTTGAACCCACGAAGGAAGATGGACTAATATTCATTAGAAGTCCAATAGTGAAGGTTGGTGAAAGGTTCAATATTCCTCAAAATCTCAACAAAAAGGTCGGTGGTGGGAACCTATATTCCTCATAATTCCAGCAATAAAGGCTGATGGTAGGAATCTATATTCCTCATAATTTCGGCAATAAAGCCAATGGTGGGAACCTGTATTCCTCATAATTCTGACAATGAAGGCCGGTGGTGGGAACCTACAGAACCAACAAGCGCTAGCTCCTTCAGGGTAGGATAAAGTGCTTCTAATCTCTATGTAGCCTCACCGTCAATATCCACGATCGAATCCCTACTTAGGGAAGTAGCATACTTCACCATCTACATGCTCACCATAAGCACGCACTTGACTGTAGCAGTGAACTACCTTACCACCAAGAAAGTCATCTTCTTCCCCACCGTGCACATTGATTGGGCAACTCCACGTATCAGGACCATTCCATTGGCGAGCTTCGAACCTAGCGAACTGACTTCAGTCCAAATCCAACCTACAAGGTTCTAAATGACGATTCCCTCAGCGACAACGAAGAAGGAGAGAATGTGGGTTTTGAAGTGGCGTTCATTTGATTTGAGGGATTGATCTTAGTGGCAAAGATCTTGGGAGAGGTTGGCTTCTTCTGCTGTCCAACCTCCTTCTACATCTCCCAGATCTGAGGATAGCAGATCGGGAACATGCATAAGTGGTTTAGATTTGGGGGGCAAGAAGGGGCTCTTCGAGTGGAGGATTTGATGGCATGTACAACTCTTCAACCACTCATTCTTTACTCTGTTTGGTTCCAGCACAAGCAAGAGGGCCGATCGTCCCCGCTCAGGCACGTACGCACGCACGCATGAAGTTCCTGCTCGCTCCCTCTCTTGAACCTCTTCTGCACTCGATTCGGGCCCCAGGTAGGTGCGCATGAGAGTCGTACACAGAAGACCGCAAAGGGAAGCCCTCTCACTTGCTCGGTTGCACTAGACGCACCCGAGCAAAAACAGAACAGAACACAATAACTAGCTCTCCCTCTCTCACGCTCTTATTTTTTAAGAAGATCCGAATGCCTTGCTCTGATACCATGTTAAATTCAGATAATTGGAGAGGGAAAAAGGCTTTTTAATTTTGTTATACAAAACTATTCATATTTATAGATATATACAATATATCTTAATAAAAAAATAAATAATTACGGAATCATGCATAATTGCCTTAATATAATCCTTTCTAAATCAACTACCCAAATATAGAAGGAGATCGGAGTGATCCAAGTGAGCATCCCATGGATCCCCATGCTGGCCATAGGATTAAGAGGTAAGGAATGGCTGGGATTTAACAGGTGAGCCTCCCACGGATTCCCATGCTTGTCGTAGGATCAAGGGCCAAGGGACAATGGGGATTTAACACAAACTTCATTTGTTATGACAAGACAATCATTAGATGTTTGATACACGTTTCTTAAACTTTATTTTTGATGTCATTATTTGCCTCAAAGAATTTTGAAATACCTGGATAACTGTCTTTGACCCAACAAATGCTTCTATCTTCTTCCAATCACGATCAAACCTGAAGCAAATAAAGCAAGACCAAAAAGATTAAGTATGAGAAGTGTGAAATTTCAAAATATTAAATTAGCAAAGATTGCAAAATAAACAACTCAGTAGTCATTCCATGAAAAGCTGAACAGTCATAAGCATACATACAAATTAGACAAACCATAAAAGATTATTTTCAAGATGTACTGGCTAAGTAGATCACGTTTGATATACAGGGATAAGCGCAACCCAGTTCTCCTCAACAATTCAGCCCAAAAGATGATTCGGTTCACTTGATTTTCCACTTTCAAGTGGATCAAATATTGTTTTTTCTTCCGTGTAAGCTTGAAGATCAAAAGATGCATTCTACATTAAAATCTGAAAGAGCTAAAACAGTTAATTTGACATGCAATGAACAACATAGAGTTCCACCAACTCTGAAAATCTTGTAAATATTTGCCGAACTATTTGGCTTTAATCATCAGAAATCAGATTTCTTCTCTTCTTATTTAAAAGTGCCCAAATGCTCTTAAATACTATATTTGTTTATACACCAGCTTAGTAAAAAATAACAAGAAAGCTTGAAATATATAAATTAATCACAAGACATATACAAAAAGTATATGCATCAGAGTGCTAACCCTCCGCTAAATCATACTTAACAGTTTCCAAGCTCAGACAGGATCCGTTTAAGGAGGATCTTCTCCGGTAACTGAGCATAACAACACTCAAAACTTCAAGCCACTTTTTCATAAAATAGCTTTCAAAATTGCTTGTGAAGTGAAAGTATTCATGGGTCTAATCTTAGAGAGGTTTTTCTCCAAGGTCACTGGTTGGAGCCACATATTTTCAGATTTATCGCTAATCATTCCCCCTAAAAAAATTGCTTGTGACAAATATCAGATGATAACTAGCTACCTTCAAAAAGTTAATCAATTCCATAATAGACCCAGGAAAACTAGCGGCGATAGAACCTAGTACATAAATAGCCAGGTTCCAGTAATCACACCATAATTCATTCCAAACCCACAAACTATACACAGGAAGAACCCAGATCTAGCAGATAGCAAAAGAAATGAATAATCGATTGAGCAAACAGCAATATCTAATTCCAAAGCGTAAGCCAAAACCTAAAAGAGACAGCAAGAACGAAGGCATACAGCTGGAGAGCCTCGAGGAACTTGTCGTGCTCTTGCTCGGTCCAGCTCTCCCTCGACTTAGTGATGGTGTACGGCTTACGGATCTTCTTGTTTGGATCCTCCGACGAGGTCTCCTCAGCCGCAGCAGAGGTCGTAATAGAACCGAGCACCTCCTGGAAGACCATGCCTGTAGGAATCCCCTTCTGCTGCTGCTGCTGCTGCTGATGATGATGACGATGAAAAGAGTCCGCAGAAAATCCTGCTTGTCCTCTGAACTCGCTACCGCCGCCTTCGGCCGCCGGAATAGCGTATAACATAGATATCGACGCCGCAATCCGCGAGAAAAAACCCTCTTTACCGTCAGATTCGATGAGTTCCCTCAGCTGCTTCTCTCTCCTGCTTGTGTGGACTTGTGGCTTCCAGCGATGGAAAGATGTGGCCTTCCCTTGCGTTGCTTGGGTAAGAGCGGAATGGAGGGCTACGTGTGCCGTGCGAAGAGCTATGCCAACCACAAACTAACTATGCGGTCGAAGGTCGCCAGCTTATTATATAGACCACAACCAAAAAAAAAAATGGCAGAGCGATACCATTTTCGATGGGAATGAAATATATTTTATTATTTTAATTGTAAGATAATCCACAGCCCTTTTTTTTAACCTTCTTCTTCGGCACTTAAATCGGGCGGATAGGAAAAAAAAAAGAAAGTGATTTGCAAATCAAAATTATAATGAATTTAACTCTGCAACTCTGTGTGCTAAAATCGTTTGATTTTGTGCATATGAGATATCTCACTGTCTGACCATTTTTTTCGGCTGGATCAACTCATATTATATCTTTGATGTTTTGCATTTCATTTATATATTAGTGGTGGACTTAGGTTTCATTTGAAACCAATTTTTATTATTTTTCAAAATAATTTTTTTAATAAAAAATTAAAATTTTTGTCAAAAAAATTATTTTATAAGTTGTAAGAAAATCATCTCAAATGGCCTTAGAAATATTTTTTTTATACTCAAAAGTTATCCCATATCATCATATATATATTGACCATTTATGGTTCATGGGTAATAAATTAATTTCTTATATAAAGAATAAAAATTTTAATTTCTTCATTAAAAATATCAAATGATTAACAAATCTATATATGTTAAAGATTGAGGAGGAACAAGTGCCCCATCTTGTAAAAAATTATTCAGGCACCAGACGAGGTCTGGAGACCAACGAGAACCCGCCACATCACTTTTTTGCTCGGTACCGGTGCTCTATACCATTGTGTACTGGGTCACTTGACACGTTCTGGTTGGTCTCCGAACCGTCTGGTGTCCGCACAAAGAATAATTTCTCCCATCTTGCACCCTTAAAATCATTAAATATATATTTAATCATGAAGCTTTTTTCCAATTATGTAGAGATTAGAATTTCTATCGACAATTAATCTCCCATCTTCATGGGCATGAGCAAATCTTTTACCTAAATTCTCTACATTGCCGATGTCGCGATTTAAATGACCGTTGCGGATGTTAAAATTTAATATTTAAAATAGAGATGTCTAAATAGCCCATTATTCATAAATGCGTTCAGCCCATGACGAAGCTGATATCTGATTTATTTGTTAAGCAAACAAGTCGAACATAAATAGATGTGTTGTGCTTGAACAAATTATTAAAGTTTCGTTTGGGGCGGCTTTCATACTGCTTTTTAAAGCAGATTTTTAATACAAAATTTTAATATTTGTATTAAAAAGTTGCTTTAAGAAACAGTAAAAAATCATTCCAAACGAAATCTAAATTCAAACGAGCAGAAACCAAACAAATGACTAGCTCGTTCTAACTCAACTTGTTTAAGACCCTAATTTAAAAACCAGTCTTTAAGAACTTTATCAAACTTCTAATCTTCTTGTTAATACTGACATAAGCCTTATTTTGTTATTCTAAAAGCACCCCTCAACCACATCAACTAACATTTTAAGGTACTCTATTAGTCTATTTACAACAGGCTTAATATGAACAATTGGGTTAAAAACTGGTGAATTCTCTTATAATCCGCAACATTTTAATTCACAAGTTAAAAACTAGTTTTTCCCACATCTTTCTGCCTAGTATTGGCTGCCTTGGACGTCAATCTTTCTGCTTAGCTCGTCAAACCTGTAGATTTTTTAGTGCACTAGCAGTGCAAGGCCTTATAAATTCTGAGCAATTTCTTCAGTTGCATTGTCTGTTATATTTGGAGGAACAGAAATAAGTGAAGAGATATTAACAATTTTACAAGCATCTCCTCTGCCATTCTTATGATCATCCCTTTGTTTGGGGTGGTTGCGGTTTTTTTTAATGCTTCTTGAAATAGTTTTTTAGTACAAAATTTTCAAATTTAAGAAATTTTTGCACTTAAAATTTGTTTTAAAAAGTTGTAAAGAAGCCGTCCCAAATGAAGCCTATGACTTCATTTAGGATGACTTTTTTACTGTTTCATAAAGTATCTTTTTAGTGCAAAAATATTCATTTTTATACTAAAAAATTGTCTTTAAGAAGCAATAAAAAAGTCGTCGCAAGCAAAGCCTACGAAAGCTTTGAAAGTGAAAATAAAGAGATGGAAATGAAGTTAGAATGTGTTGAATATTGAGTGACGCTACTTTAGGCCTTTTTTTTTTAAAGAATGATTCTCTAGCTTATTATGGGTTTTGAATAGCTCCTTCATTTGATTCCTCTTTGTGATTATTGTTTTTCCTCATTGAGGGTTCATTGTTTTGATTTTTAGGATATTACACTCTTTTTGTCCATCCCACTTGATATTTGTTTACTTTCTCTCAACCCCTATTAATCGCATTGTTACTTTCTGTTGTTATAAAGACTTTGTTGGTTTGTTTTGTGAAGTATTACACTGTATCCCCAAATATTTAAAGGTGTGGCTGCTCGAGCAGAATCGAGCATGGGTTGGGGGGTTCCCAACCGTACTCGCTCATCAAACAAGCTAAACAACGGTGCGTCTTATTTATATTACTAAATAATTTTTTAACTCTTCACAGTATTTTTAGTTACATTCCTTATTCCATGTAGAAGATAAAACAGACAAAAATGACCAAAGAAAATGCTTAGTAGACATTTTCAGCGAGGAGCTTTACTTTGGTTTGAAAACTATAAATTATTTCAAGACCTTTGAAATGTTATGATCGTGACGAGGACATCTGCTCAAAAATTTATAATAGAAATAATATAACGAGAGATAATTAATGGCAGACGTTCTAACTCTCCATCGCTTTCCTTTTCTTAGTACGCCTACTTTTTCGCATTAAAAAAACATCCACGCGGAAGAGCATTTAGAGAGAAAACGTTGTGAATGGAAAGCTAATGTTTATGTTCTAACAGTTAATACTATCACTATCAGAGCTGCTTTTGAATTAACTTTTTTTTTTTTTTGGGAAAACCCGGGGCAAAAAGCCCATATATTTATAATTGAAAAATCAAATTACAAGTAACCTGGAGGAAAAGTCAAATGCAAAAACTATGAAAATACACAAAGACTATAGCACAGGCATAATGGAAAGCAGCAAACATAAGACTCAGAATTTTGGCGCGGTCTCAATCAACAAATATAATCACTTGATATCAGAATCAAGAAAGAACTGGACTTGACGGTGGCACCGGTTGCCCACAAAACTTGAGGAAGCAGCAAGAAGATCCCAACAAAACTGGCCATCACAGTGCCTCCAGTCAGTCAAAAAGAAGCCACAAAAACGAGCCAGGTTGCCAAAATGACCCTCCATGGCCCGGAGAGACAAGCCTAGCTCATCATCGTCGGTATGCGCAGTATCCATCGCAAAATTGCAGCCATAGTCTTTGAAGCATACCTGAGAGATGTTTGAGATGTAGTCCACAAGCAAACTGGAATGTGCAGGCCAAACAAAACAGCCACATTCCCAAAAAATCCTATCCCAGGTCTGAAAAACTAAATAAACAGTAGAGCAAAAACTGGACCAAATAAAAACAGTCCACCAAATATATGATCCACATAGCCATACCAAAACCGTAACCTGCATCTCAGTTAGAAGAAATAAGGCCCTCCAGTAGAAGCAATAAGCAAACCGAACTGAAAACCCACGAATCTTTGCAACAATAAGTTTCTATTTTTCCATTTGTAAGTTTTCAATCTAACCGCCGTTGTAATATTGCATATCAATGTGACCACATTAATTCTAAGTTCAGAGAAACGACGGTTATTACGTTCTCTCCAAATATGATATATAATGCAGCTAATGGCTAGAAAGCAGAAATCTTTTTCTGATTTGTTGAACATAACAGAATTCTCAATTAACTAGAAAACAGCTTTTGAATTAACTAGAAAATCAGTGGAAACTAACCCCCTCTTTTTTTTTTTTGGACAGTCATTTAAACCATCTCCAACCAAATTGCATACAGGGTATGCCGTCCGCCATCAGTCCATTCGAATGCCAGATTGCACGTCAAAATTAGGTAGGTAAACTATTTACCTGCGCCAATTTTTGTGTTATGGGATTTGCCGAAAAAGGACGCAAAAGAGGAGAAAGATGGTTACCTTCGCAGCCAGATAAAGAAACTTGCAAAGGACGAGAAAGAAATGGAATTTGATTGAAGGTGAATTACTGCATTTTGGAGTTTTATCATATTTTAGAGTGAAAAATTCTGTTTTTTTATTGGAGATGCCCTGAATGTAACTCTATTAGTTGTTAGTTTTTAGAGTGTTCAAATTTGAATCTGTAAGTCCAATTTGTTTGGAACAATTTTTTCGTAGTTTATTTGAAAAAAGATTAGTTAATAAAAAATAATTTATATTTAAAAGATAACTTTTTAAGGTAATTCTTAATTTTTTATTTTAAAAAGTTATTGACAGAATCAGTGTGTCCAATTTGTTTGGAACAACTTTTTCGTAGTTTATATGAAAAAAGATTAGTTAATAAAAAATAATTTATATTTAAAAGATAACTTTTTAAGGTAATTCTTAATTTTTTATTTTAAAAAGTTATTTTTGAAAAAGCACTTTTTAGATTGTGGGTGAAACTAAGCTTTTAAAAGTAAAAATACAAAAGCCCAAACAAAACTTAAGTTCACCTTAGCTTATTCTTTAAAACTATACATGCAAAAACAAAAACAAAAAAAAGCTATGAAATGATGTATGAGTTTTTTTAAAGCTAAATTTGCCTAAGATTTGTTTGGGGTCACCTTTACTTTTTATTTTCATTTTTGTTTTTGAAAATATGTATGTTTAGCATATTTTTAAATTATATATTTTTTTTAAATAAATCAAGTTATTTCACAAATATTCAAAATAACTTTTTTGATGAATTTTTTGTGTTAAAAAAGAACTCACTAATGATCAATCGTCAACGCCCGCCATCATCATAATGGCCATTACAACCACTAGCGATCAACAATGTCATTATTGTCTTGATTGCCATCATAGCGGTCATGATAGCTACTTTCACCACAACCGCATAAAATAATTTATTTTTAAAATATAAAAATAACCGGAGGACTATCTGAGCTATGATAATTTGGTAAGTTTGACCAATATTATAGGCTAGTAGAAGATAATAACAAAACTCTATAATTTTAGAGGCAAAATGTTCTTCCATAGAGCAATCCAATATTGCAAATGATTTAAATTTTCATTCCATGCAAATGTTGCAAAGATTTTTTAAAATGTTCAAATCTCTGTATTTTCTCTGATGAACCTTATCTTGATTTGATGATGTATTTAGGCTTCGTTTGGGGCAGCTTTTTTTTTTTTTTTTTTTTCTTTCTAAAACTTTTTTTTTTTTGCTTTCTAAAACAGTTTTTTAGCACAAAAAATTCTTGAATTAGAAAATTTTATAATAAAAAGTCTTTTTAGGAAGCATTACAAAATATGTCCCAAATAAAGCTAGCGGGAGGGCTATAAAAATGATCTAAACCTACCCAAAGGCTATCTACTAGAGTTCAGTTTTGAGTGCTTTTGGATTCAACAAAATGTGAGGGATGGGCATACCTCACTGAGTTATATAATTGAATGATACAAACTATCCACCAATCGATCTTTATGCTATGATATTGAATTACAATATTTGAAAAAAGAGGGTATGCCTTGTAAGGGCATCTCAAACTGTAAAATGCAGTAAAATGTCATAATTCATCTCCAATCAAATTGTATTTCTTTCTTCTTTCGCACGCTTACTGCAAAGATAATAATCTATCTCCTCTTTCGCTCGCTTTTCTCTTCTTTTGCGCTCGTCTTCGACAAATTTGACAACCCAAATTTTTGGCGTAGATGAACAGTGCGACGCCAATATTAGCGTCACACTGTTCACCTACCGAATTTTGACGTGAGAATCGGAGTTTGAATGCAATGAACGGTGAACGACATACGGTGGTATACAGTTCTGTTAGAGATGGTTTAATTAAGAGAGAATATGACACAACCATGATCTAATAAAATTTTCATCACTAAAATCAAATAGGGTAAAGATATTAAAAAAATTATTTAATTTCCTAAATTAATTTAATAACTTGTCGATTATCTTAAAATTAAGAGTGTGTTTAAGACAACTTTCTTACTACTTCGCTTTTTATATCACAACCATAATTCTGCCTGATTATTGCTTTTCAAAAAATTCTTCTGCTAAAAAGCTGCTTTTATAGCAACTTTTAAAAATTATTATTTTTTCACTGCCGCTTTATAATCACATCTATAAAAAAAAATTTGACTATCACAAACATATCCTACAAACACAATTTATTTATTTATTCCTAATTCCTAACATCATCATCATAGCATCACAGTTATAATTATGTCATAGAATTTGAAGTACTTCAACGAGAATAGCTCCATCATCTCCTCGATCTCCAACCTATCCATTGTAGCACGCTGCTAACAATAGTGGATGATGCTGATGCTGATGCTGACGGTGCGGAACAATGACAGGAATAACTGAACGGTAGTGATGATCGACCAGCAAAAGCTAGCCGTTGGTAGTGGCAAAAAGAACATCTTTTAGTTGATCTTACACAACCAACCACAATTTACGTGGCCCAAATGGGTAGAAGAGAAAAAAAGAGTTCCCAACGAATATTTAGATCAATTAAGATAAATTCATATACATATCACATATATTAGACTCAAATTTAAGATCGATCTTTTGATTGATAGTCAAAGCTCCCAACTAACGAATCAAGATGAACTGCATGAGTTACGCAGGAATATATGGATGAATGCATCACAAGTTCTTGATTAGTATCAGATATCTTATACAAATTTGTACAAGAAGTTTAGGGCCGGTTTGGGAGGGACGTTAATTTTTTATAGAGGTTGTTGTAAAATTGCTATTATTGAGAGAATAATTTTTTGAAAGCTGTTGTAGAAAGCAACTTCCTGACAAAAAATTTATCAAAAACAGTGATAAAATAATGACAAATTAAATTAAAACTGTGGTTGCAGCATGAAAAGCAAAATAATAAAAAAACGGTTCCAAATAAAATCTAAGTAGAATCAATTTATGCATGTCGTATTCATAGAAGCTACAACATATGTAGCACAATTATTGTCCACATATCCTTATGATTAACTAATTATCATACTAATTAATCGCCAACTTTCACCTAAATTATTTGTTCTTTATGTCATCATTGTTGGGTTCATCCTACTGGCAATGTTCTTCACTGCGCGCAAGCACTTTCTATAGCATGAGATCACCAAATAGTAAAGTTGTTCAGTTGTGAGGCATAAAATGCCCAAATCTAATCACATCTTTATTACTATAAAATATGCACTTAAAGATCATTGAGATTAATTAAAGCTATTTTCATCAAGTGATAGTAGATATATTTTTAATTACTTATTGTGAATTTAAGTCCCCAAGCTCTAAATTTTTTAGCATCACATCCATTAAAAACAGCACATTTACAGAAATATTTGTAACGCCTCTTCAAACACGATCAAACACTCGACTATTGTTCAAATCATTTTCAAACATTGTTAAGAATTGATTTTAACCTTGATTGAATCATGTTTTGCATATAATTAAAGCTTCTTCAACTATTATTTGATCATAGTTTTGAAATTCAAGCATTGTTTAAATACAATTTTGAGCATGTCTATTCATATACCGAATATATATCGATAAAGGTCAAAATAAGTTTTCAAAATATTTGAAGCTTGTAATCTCATATATAATATCCTTTTAGGTTAAGGATTAAGGGTGTAAATATAAAACATTTATTCCTAACTTTCAACGACAATCAATGGTTGGCAAGAGATGAAAATGTTACATCAAAATTTTGCCTCAAAACTATCACTCGCGAACGAGAATTGATGAAGAAGAATAATACATTGAGAATTTGAGGGATCGATACATTTCTAGCATAATAATTCACTTATATAAACTAGAACATCTTCAAATTATAAGCATAGTCTAATGGAATAAAACAATATATATATATATATCTCTCTCTCTTTAATCTTAAGCATTATGAGATATATAAACTTAATCTTTCCTAATAAATTTTGCTCTAAAATTTCATGAGAGGAGGAATACTGATAATAAATATCAACAGCAACAACATGAAGCCTTTTTCCCACTATGTGGGATCAGATACATGATTCTTTTTTCGCCATTGTGTCATGTTAAAAGTCAAATTCTTATTCAAATCTAATAAAGAAAGACCATTTTTAATATTTTATAACACAGTCTTTTTAGATCTACCTATACATTTTTTAACATAAGTCAAATCTAAAATCTCAACTTTTCTAATCGGGTCATAGGAAGGCCGCCATTTAATGTGACCAAATCATCTAAGACAACTCTCTCTAATCTTATCTTCAATTGGAACTACTCCAATCTTTTCACGTGACATTTAGTATCCTATTTCTAAAGGTAAAGCCACTCATCCACCTAAGCATCCTTATCTTTGCAATACTTAACTTAGTATTATGCTTCTATTTTAATGACGAACATTCGGCACCATAAAGCATTGCAGGTCTCACCACCATCTTATAGAATTTTCTATTAAGTTTGAGCGGGACTTTTCTATCGCACAACAAACCCGATGCATTCCTTATTCTAATTTAAATAGAAATGATCACAATAAAAAAATTACAAAAGAAATATTCTAATTTCTAACTGATTCACTTGTAATCATATATTATTCTTAAAGTTATTGAAATCAAGATTTTATTATACTTAATATAAATTATTTTTCTGGTTTAAGCTGCTATTGGCAATGGCAAATTTATCCTTAAACTATAATTGATTTTTTGAAAAGTGTGAATTTTAGGCTATTTTTGAAAAAGGCCGGAGGATAACATTTGTTCGGCTCCTGCCAAGACGATAACGACCACACTGTCTTTCTCCCTTCTTTTGGGAGAGAAGCTCAGAAGACGACGTCCATGGCCACCGCGAGCTCCGCTGCCACCTTGTCCATTTGCTCGTCTTCTTCCTCCTCTTTCTTCTCCCATATTCCAACCCGTGTCCCATCTCAGTTCTCCTTTAATCATCAGAAGCCAAAGTGTCGGCTCCTGGCAATTAGGGCTGCCGTATACACAGCCCCCTCACCTACTCCTATGCCGGCAGCTTCTTCTTCTGGAATCGTTCTCGTAGACAAGTCAGATTCTGATAAGGTGAATCGCCTCAAGTCTGTTTATCTTGAGAAGATAGTTCCAATTCTTAAAGAGGAGTTCGGTTACAATAACATACATGAGGTACACATTCAACTTCTCTTCTCCAAAATTGCATATTTTGTTTCTTCTATAAAAATTATTATTATATGTGGATCGGAGTTAGGTACCTGGAATAGAGAAGATAGTTGTGAACTGTGGTATGGGAGACGCCGAACAGAACTCAAAAGGTTTGGAGGCTACAATAAAGGATCTTTCACTGATAACGGGACAAAGGCCGGTGAAAACGAGGGCTAAGAAATCCATCGCCAGCTTCAAGCTGAGGGAAGGGACCACAGTAGGAATTGCTGTTACCCTTCGTGGAAATGTAAGTTAAGTGCCTAAATCATTATAAGAATTAGTCTATTTGTGGGAATTTCGTATAATTAATGAAATTTGAGTTTCGTAACTGTTCAGGTATATTGTTTATATCAAATTTTCTAAACAAAAACTCATATTCCTTTGAAATTCAGAATTTATTTCGATGTGTTTTGATTTGCTGATTAGTCATGTGGATCTTTGAATTCACTTTGCTGTAATTGAACTGATGAGTTTAAACTTTTTGGATATGTATTTGAAGGAGATTATATTGGAAGAAAACTCTCAGAATTGGGAATATTATTCCCCTTTTTTTCCTTATTGTATCCAGTTATATGCCTATTTATAGGTCATCTTACAAATCTATAATACACTCTGTGATTCACTACCTCTCAATATTGTATGAGAGCATGGAAAGAACCCTCCTATTTTCTTTGTCGCTGTCCTCCTATCTATAGTTTCACCTACTTGCACATGCTTGATGACTTGCTCGCTTGCAACAATCGCTAGCTCTACGCACTCAGTTCATTCATTGTCATGTTGTTCTAGTGATCCTAGACAAGTGATGCGTCGCATAATATGGCACACATTATGTTAGTGATTCTTGTATTCTTGGAAAGTCGTATAACCCACTGCAAGATTGCAACCTTTGACTTGCTCCGCAACCTATTCGTCGCCAATGATGCCTACCATGCTGGCTTTATTTAGTGTGCCCTACATGCCATGCCCTACTTTTACCCTTATTCTAGTTTTTTTTTTCTTTACCTATATATCTTCCATGGTATCATGGTATCTGCATGTATCATGGCATTTGCATCTAACTTTTATGATGCAAACTTCCACTATTGATACTTCTATCAATTTTAACAAATTTAATTATCTCATTTAGTTACATACCTTTTTGTTTTTTTATTTATTCTCATGACAAACTCTCTCATGTCATGCACGTTTTTTACTCATAATGATACCATCAAATACTCCAAATGGCAAGCATTTGATTACGCCATTATCATTTGTCGTTGAATAGTTTCTAACCTTATATTGCCTTAACAATCTTGTTTTATGAGACTACTAAGGCAATTGTGTTGACTATCTCCACAATCTTGTTTTATAAGACCTTCTATCTTCTGATTGTGTCTTTACCTTCTATCTTCTGATTGTGTCCTTTAGGATCTCAATTCAAAGAAGATGATTGATGGGGGTGTTGAAGTTGATGGGATCTACTACCTGATGATTGATGCTCACTCCGCATTTTCCTCCACCATTACTCTTTCTTATTGGCAGCACTATTAGTTGAATCATCTTTATCCCAATTGACTTTAACATTTTCTCTTTGTTCGTCATATGCACTTAAATTTCATTATCATACATGAGAGCTTGGTAAGCACCACGGTGTGTCATTTCCACCCTCTACCACAAGTCATTGTCATCATCCTTTTGAGTTTATTCACTCAGATGTTTGGAGTTCTAGCCCGATCCTTTCTCATTTAGGTTTCCTCTATTTTGTAAGATTCATCGATGGTTTTTCATGGATTTAATTAAATATCACTCTAAGACCATTCATAAATCTCAAGTCTTTTATCAAGAAATAAAAAAGTTAAGTTTTTTGTTGTCATCAAAATTTTATATACCAATAATATTTTTTATTTCATGCTATCTCAATATCACACCCTCAATGGAATGACGATCCTCAACTCAAAAATCAAAACCTTAATGTTGTAAGGATATTGATGTTTCACTTGTTCTTCATCAATAATGAGGGAATGTATTCTTAAATGCATGTTAACTCATTAATCGAACTCCTCCACTTCTAGACCACACTATATACCTCCACTCTATATTCTGGTCAAGCTATTTATTCCCTTCACATCACAGATCTTTAGTTATGTTTGGTTTGTTAATGTGTTTCTCTCAAGTTGAAATCAAGTTTATCTTTGTCATGTTCTCTTGTTCTCAAAAAATAAATTGGTGCTATAATCCACTTAAAGTTCATTAATGTTGTCCTGCATGAGACCACCCTTTTCTTTTCACCCTCTCCTCTTGAGCGTTCCGTCCTATCTAGTCTCCCCTCAGGAGCTTCTCATCTTACATGACTTCAACCACATTGCCTTATTCAATTTAGCATCCACTAGCCGATGAGCCTTATCACCTCAATCATTCTATTGCCTCTCAGAGAGGCAAAAGTTGATGTATTTCTTATCCTATTCACTCCTATGTTTCATTTGATCAATTATCCACTTTATTTCATACAATTTCCCTGTATATATCCTCTATATCTATTCCTGGGCCTTTCATGGTGTGCTACAAAAGCCTTTATAAAAGCATGCTGTAGATGTAAAAGTGGTTGCTCTTCTCAGTTCTCATATTTGGAATCCGGTTGCCCCCACTTTTAATGATCAAATTAACTACATGTTCGTAGGTACACAATGGAATTTCTTCCAAATGGATCAATTGATCATTGTAAAGTTTGGTTGGCTGGCAAATGGTTCACCCATGTATATACGATCCACTATTTTGACAAACTTCCTAGTTGCATGCCTAAACTTTGTCTAAATCTTGTTGTTTGTGGCCATCAATCAAGGTTGGCATATGTTCAAGATGGATAATAAGAAGATATAGTTGAGATTTTAAGAATCCATATTAATTTTTGAAAATATTCTAGTATTGTTATTCATGTCTATTATGAGTTTATGACACATGCTTTTTAGAGTGCTTTAATTGATTAGGATTTTTTTGGATCGGTTAGATTGTTTGGTTAAGATTTTACTTCCTTCCATATTGTTTCAAATAAATTTGATTAACTTTTGTTAGTTGTCCAAATTTGATGGTTAATAAATCATCAAAAAGTCTATTTGGTTGGGCACAAATCTTGAGTCAATATTCAAATTTTAAAAAATTTAAATTAAATTTGGGATTATGCAAATTCTAATTTTAGCAAATTTTTAGTAATGCCTCAATAGACGAATCCAAATGAACTCAAATCAAGCACTTATAGTATAGTTGCATGCTTACTTGTAAAACGAGCATCTCAATGAAAGAAATTCAATAAAATCAAGATCACTTAATTCTGAAGCACTTAAATACTAAAAGAATAATCTATGATCAAAGAAGTAAATACGAACCATCCGATAGGTGTTTTGAGATTTTAGCTAGGTTTATCAAAATGTTACTTTAAAAAACTATAAATAGATATTTGTTTCTACATGAAAGGGTCCTTAATTTGAAATTGTAGATAACCTTGAGATTTAAAGAACTCTAGAGTTCTGTTGGACATTCGACACTCATAATCACTGTCACTCAACTATTGTTGTCTGCTTGATTGTCTTCAACTGTCTACTGCCATACAACCATTGTCGCCTAGCCTTTCATGTTTGATCGTTATTGTTTGACCATTGTTACCTGACTATTATTGCCTGATTGTTGTTGCTTAACTAACATCATCTAACCCTGTCATCATCTTTACACTACATTTCTAGTATTTTCTATCACTTTCATGAATGCTAAACTTGAATTACATACTTTGTAATCATGTCTTCTCCTATTTAGTAGAAGGGCGGCTTGTATAAGCTTGTTGATATGGTGAATCTTTACAATTAAGCTAAGCACCATGATTTTTTTTAGATCTTCTACTTATTTTTTTTTAATCTATTTTGCTCCTCTTTTATCTATATAATCTACATCATATGTGGGAAGAGATGATCGTATCATAGCTAGACTGGTTCAATGGCTAATAGTGGGTCTTCTTGCTCCAACTCTCATCAATCTAGGAGTTACACCCACAACCAAGACATCTAAATCAAGCAAACCTATACCCTCAATATCTATCTTTAGGGCATTAAATGTGTAGGATAGAGAAGCATCAAGTCATAATCCTTCAATTATTAAAAGAGGCTAGCCAATAGAGATAACTTTCACAGCATCATTGAGCTCATCAGCCGCAAAATCAATGGAATTAGGTTGGATAATTTAAAAATGTTTATGTAGGACCACCATGGGATCATACTGAAGTTCTTTCTACACCACAATTTAATCTAGAACACCTCGACACTACTAGTATAACCCATTATTTTCATATTGCTCAACCGACTTGGAATCCTCTAGCGGCCTTGGTGGACTTGATTTGACCTCATCTTATGCTTACTCCTCATGATATCATGCGGGATGAGTTGCAACATCTAATTTAAAAAGAATTTTTTATGTGGGATAAGGATTTGCCTACTCGGCACAACTTCCAAGAGTTTTCACCCTTGATTAATACAATACGTCAACATCCTATATTGGTTGGATTTAAGGTAATTGCTATTGATTCATATGAGGGGTCCTCAGATTGTTATGAATATATCGATTATTAAAGACCATCATGCATATGCAACAAGCCTCAAATTCACTCTTTTGCCAGGGCCTTTCATGCCACTTTAAAGGTCAAGCTCACACTTAATTCTACTCTCTCTCAAGTAGAACCATTCTTAATTTTGCCAAACTTTTTATTCAATAGTTCATCACAATTGGGGAATCATGAAAGGTTTTGCTCATATTTTGAGGAACTGCCAAAATAAATGAGAATTGTTAGAGAGTACTTTTAAAGTTTTTTCTTTAAAACTCATCAAATTTCAGGAGTGGGTATGTTAGACCGGTTCATTGTGAACCGATCCAGCCCCAGCCGACCCAAAGGGAGCCGCGGGTCTATAGGAGGTGGAGGCTTCCGCCTCCTCTGCCTGGTCCGGCTAATGGGGCGTGAAAGTTCGTTAGGGATGTTAGGCCCTTAAGAACTTGCCCGAGGCTAACCAAGAGGGGGGGTGAATTGGTATTTAAAAAATTCTTTAAACCAAAGAACAAATATCACAAACCAAAGTCACCACAGAAAAAACAAGTGCGGAAAATTAAAGTGTGGAAGCAGTAAAAAGAACACAATGGTTTATAGTGGTTCGGTCAACTTGACCTATGTCCACTCCCCGGAGGCGCCCTCCGAGTATTGCACTACCAACGTGACTCTCCTTTATTCCCCACAGC